ATGTACGGGCAGCCACATGCCCAAGGGCCATGTCTGGTGTTTCCACTCGCAGCAGCATGGTATGTACGGGCAGCCACACGACCAAGGGCCATGTCTGGTGTTTCCACTCGCAGCAGCATGGTATATACGGCAGCCACACGACCAAGGGCTATGCCTGGTGTTTCCACTCGCAGCAGCATGGTATGTACGGGCAGCCACATGCCCAAGGGCCATGTCTGGTGTTTCCACTCGCAGCAGCATGGTATGTACGGGCAGCCACATGCCCAAGGGCCATGTCTGGTGTTTCCACTCGCAGCAGCATGGTATGTACGGGCAGCCACATGCCCAAGGGCCATGTCTGGTGTTTCCACTCGCAGCAGCATGGTATGTACGGGCAGCCACACGACCAAGGGCCATGTCTGGTGTTTCCACTCGCAGCAGCATGGTATGTACGGGCAGCCACATGCCCAAGGGCCATGTCTGGTGTTTCCACTCGCAGCAGCATGGTATGTACGGCAGCCACACGACCAAGGGCCATGTCTGGTGTTTCCACTCGCAGCAGCATGGTATGTACGGGCAGCCACACGCCCAAGGGCCATGCCTGGTGTTTCCACTCGCAGCAGCATGGTATGTACGGGCAGCCACATGCCCAAGGGCCATGTCTGGTGTTTCCACTCGCAGCAGCATGGTATGTACGGGCAGCCACATGCCCAAGGGCCATGTCTGGTGTTTCCACTCGCAGCAGCATGGTATGTACGGGCAGCCACATGCCCAAGGGCCATGTCTGGTGTTTCCACTCGCAGCAGCATGGTATGTACGGGCAGCCACACGACCAAGGGCCATGTCTGGTGTTTCCACTCGCAGCAGCATGGTATGTACGGGCAGCCACATGCCCAAGGGCCATGTCTGGTGTTTCCACTCGCAGCAGCATGGTATGTACGGGCAGCCACACGACCAAGGGCCATGTCTGGTGTTTCCACTCGCAGCAGCATGGTATAGGCGGGCAGCCACATGGCCAAGGGCCATGTCTGGTGTTCCCACTCGCAGCAACATGGTATGTACGGCAGCCACACGCCCAAGGGCCATGTCTGGTGTTTCCACTCGCAGCAGCATGGTATGTACGGGCAGCCACATGCCCAAGGGCCATGTCTGGTGTTTCCACTCGCAGCAGCATGGTATGTACGGGCAGCCACATGCCCAAGGGCCATGTCTGGTGTTTCCACTCGCAGGAACATGGTATATACGGCAGCCACACGACCAAGGGCCATGTCTGGTGTTTCCACTCGCAGCAGCATGGTATGTACGGGCAGCCACATGCCCAAGGGCCATGTCTGGTGTTTCCACTCGCAGCAGCATGGTATGTACGGGCAGCCACATGCCCAAGGGCCATGTCTGGTGTTTCCACTCGCAGGAACATGGTATGTACGGGCAGCCACATGCCCAAGGGCCATGTCTGGTGTTTCCACT